GACGGCTGCGCAGCCAGCGTCCCTGGGGAGTCTGCGTGGGAGGAAGGCTTCGGAGCAGCCGGGGCGGCTGAGCTCAGCCCATCCCAGGGCTCCAGCTAACACCCAGCTCCAAAACGCTGAGCTCCAGGTGCTGGAGTGCTCTGGCCACGGCCGGCACCTGTGGGCTGGCCTGACCCTGCTTGCCGAAGCTGTGGGAGAAGGAGACCTGGAGACTGCTAAGGAGACCACTCCAAGGTTTCTTTAATAGACCCTCAAGTGCCCAGTTAAGCCAGCTTCTAGGACTTGCAGGTGCTAAGATCAATCTTCAGGCTAGACCTTTAAATGCATGGGGCTTCCACCAATCCCATCCCATCCCATTCCATCCCATCCCCAGGGCAGCACAGTCACTCCAAAGCCTTTTGCACTAGCTTGAAAGTGCTGTCATGGCAAACACTAAAAAAAGGGAGTGCTGGTCCCACTGAAACTGTGCCGGCACAAGGAGACCCTGTCTTACCTGCAAAGAGCTGTAGCCCATGGCTCGTCCTACTACAGCATTGCCTGCATCCCGCAGCAGCCCTGGGACCTGCTTCCTCTGCAGCCAGAAGCAGCACAGCCCTCTATTTAACGTGGAAGTTGGGAATTGCCCTTATTCACCTGACTCCAGAAACTGGAGATTTAAGCAAACTGGCCAAGCTAGGTACGAACCCACTGGCAGCACAGACGTGGGTGCTGGCAGGGTTGTTTGCGCCTGGTACCCCAGCACCTGAAGCAGGCAGGAGCTTAGACCCCCACCGCAATAAACACACCGGAATAAACACACAGCCAGAAACACCCCACGCTTGATGGACCTTCTGCGTGGAACCTCTGGCCTTCGTCCTAGCCCTTCTGCTGGTCACAACGGTGGTCTCACACGTGCAGAGGGGAGCGGGGATCAGCTCTGCCCTGCGCTTCCAAATGGCCAAGATGGAAAAAGGAGAGAAAAAAAGAAAAAAAAACCCCACCCCACCCTTCCCAGGGAGCGGAGGAGGCCAGCGCCGTGTCCTGAAGTAACACCATCCTGCCTTGTCTTGGCTCTGCTCTGCGCTAGCACATCCCTGGCCGTGCTGTGTGCTTGGCCGAGCTGTTCCTGCGCCGAACCCTGCGTGGGTGTCCTCCCGCACCCGGGAAGGGCCTCCGAGGGGGGAGCGGCCCTGCACGCCAGCACGGCCCCCGGGCAGGGTCCCCATGCTGCCAGCACCGACCCTGCTCGAGCATCACGAGTGATGGTCGGTGGTGGGTCAGCTTGTTTGGGTCACTCTGGGGAGAAGACCCAAGGGAGGGACCTCAACGCGGGGCGGTGTTCAGGTTGGGAAGATTAAGTCCTACATGGAAACTGGGAGTTGAGCAGCTGTGTATGGGGAGGGGCACGAGTCTGACCCTCCATGGTGCAGGGTCACCAGCTCCGTGGGTCTTGTCCTGGGTGGGCAGCATGGCCATTTCCCAGCTCATCCATGCACAATGAACTCTGACATGATGCCTCTGACCAAGTCATGCTTCAGAAGAAAGGCAAAGAGCTCAGCAGGAGGCCAGGGAAACGGGAGAGTACGCGAGCGATGCCGGCTGTCCGAGATGCCGCT